GACCAGCTTACATGAATAACATTCAGCGGAACCTATTGTTCGCAGTCGATTTACGAATTACATTTAGCATTACATCCCGAATAACCACCAACCTGCAGGTAGAGAATACGGATTGACGATCCAGCTCGCTTCTTTTTCCGGTCGTAGTAACACGTCGGTCAAGGTTCTAAATCAAAGTACTTATACAACTTGCTGTCTTTATATACCTCGGGTTGTCGATTTCAATGTTCACTTTTCAGATGTCAACGACGATCGTCGACTCGAGACATTACGACTTGAAGTCGATTTACGATTATTAATCGTAAAATTGTACAAGTGTTACTGTAACGATCAAACAACGACAAAAAATTCGTTTATATGTCAGTCGGTAGAGTTCAGAATTCTGTAGAATTAAATAGCATATCGTACAATTGGAGACGATTATTGGAGAATCAGCATTTCATTGAGACTCCCGCGACTAAGCAAGCGTTCCCATAAACCAGTATTTGGTTACGCATGACCACTATAGTTCAAGCTAGGACTACTACCTTAATCATCGGTTTATGTACATGGTCTTTACATAGAGTTTTGGGTCTTTATAGTTGGAGTACTCCCCACGGTCACCCTATTGGTCTTCTTACACCCAAGTGACACGTCAGGGGGGTAATTTGTCATACTTAGGTGTAAAGTTAGGGACGGTTTACGACAATAATTTATAAGCTTAATCAATTAATAGAAAGGTGTCCTGTTTGAGGGTTGGACATTGTCACCCTGTCATGCTTTGTTAGTCATTAATTCATTCTGTTATCTGTCTGTACATAACAATACATAAGATGACATGCTATAGTCGACTATGTCCGTTCATCTTCATAACCGACGATTCTTTTTTATTAACCAAGGGTGTTCGAAGTCTGGGAGGTACACCAGAGGGTGCTCAGTTTAGCGAATTTCGATGAACATATGTACATACATGATTATAGAAGTTTATCATGTGGTTACATGTGCCTGACAGCAGTTCTTTTAATCTTATAACACTATTTCAAGAAAATTATGAGAGAGTTCGTTGTTC